CCCGCCCGCTGCTCCCCTCAGCAGTGTACTTCGTCGATCTGCCTGTTCTGTTCCCCACTCTGTCTCTGGTGAAGCCTCTCGCTGCCCCTGAGCCTGTGGCCTGTACCCCAGTTCTGTATGCACAAATAAATAAATCTTAAAAAAAAAAGTTGAAAAAGGACTACTGCCAAATATGTTCTACAAAGCAAATATTACACTAACATCAAAATCAAACAAAGACCACACACACAAAAAGAAAATTACAGGCCAATTTTCCTAATGAACACTGATGCAAAATTTCTCAACGAAATCCTTGCCAACAGAATCCAGCAATCCATTAACAGGATAATACACCACAATCAAGTGGGATTCATCCCAGGGGCACAAGTATGGTTCAATATGTGAAAATCCATCAATGTCATCCAACATCAACAAAATGAAAAATGAAAACCACATGATCATATCAATAGATGCTGAGAAAGCATCTGACAAAGTCCAATATCCATTTATGATGAAGGCCCTTGAAATTCTCAGGATAGAAGGAACATACCTCAACATGATAAAAGCCATATATGAGAAACCCACAGCCAATAATATTCTCAATGGGGAAAAGCTGACAGCCTTTCCCTTAAGATCAGGAACAAGACAAAGATGTCTACTCTCACTTCTGCTCTTCAATATAATTCTGAAGCCCCTGCCAGAGCAATAAGACAAGAGAAAGTCATGCTAGCAGTCCAAATAGGGAAAGAATAAAACTATCATTATTCACATATGGTATAATAGAGAGAGAGAACCCTAAAAACTCCACAGAACTACTCAAAATAATCAACCAGTTTAATAAAGTAGCAGGATACAAAATCAACATACCAAAATCAGTAGCCTTCTAATACATAATCAATTAGAAGAAGAAATCAAGCAAACCATCCCTTTTAAAATTGAAACAAAAAAAAATCCAATACTCGGGAATAAATCTAACAAAAGAGATGAAGGACTTATACAAAGAAAATCATAAAACACTACTAAAAGAAACAGAAGATTCCAATCAATGTAAAAATATCACCTGCCATGGGCTGGAAGAATTAACATTATTAAAATGGCCATCCTACCAAAAGTAATTTATAGATTCAATGCTATCTCAATAAAAATCTCAATGACATTCTTCAAAGAAATAGAACAAATACTGATGAAGTTCATATGGAGCCACAAACAAACTGAGAATAGCCAAAACTCTACTGAAGAAAACAAAGGAAAACGGCTGTATTACTCTTCCAAACCTTTATGTCCAATGACAGATAACTGGATAAAGAAATTGTGGAAATGGACTATTACTCAGTTATTAAAAAAGATGAACTAGAGCCTTTTGGGAAAAAAAATGAGTGGATCTTGAGGTTATTATGCTTTGTGAAATAAATGAGAAAGTGCAAAAGGGATACCACATGGTTTCATTCATATGTTGAAAATAAATAACTAAAGAAAACAAACTGGCAAAGCACAGAAAAAATAAATCTTAGACTAAAAAAAAAGACTAGTTGGGTAGGGATGAGATAGGGGAAGAAGGTGATTGGAAATTGGCTTGGGAGTTTTGGGAGAAAGTGAGTGCAAGAAATGCATACATGGAAGTCTGAAAATGTATCCCCAAAGTTATATAGATATGCAAGTGAAAGACAAAATAGTAAACTGGGAAAAGTCATTAATGGTATGTTGGTTATTTTAAGTGACCATACTGGATAAAATGTTTAGTATAAACAGGACTGACATATGTTACCAAGGGTCTGTAATGTGTAGTAGTGTGTTAGTAGTTATTAAATTATATTAACAGGAATGATTCACAATGATAGCTAGGATTCAAATTTGGTTTGCAACTGTATAAATTACACACAAATTATGTGGGAGGTTTTAGGTATTTAAAAAGTACTAACTAATTACATGATTTAATTTCAGATTTCAAAAATACACAAGAAAAGAAGGGAGGAACAAAGGACAAAAGGGAAAAGTGGTTCTTAATTAGATCTTAGCATAGACATTTATGGGAAATTACATTTTAGCATTTTTCCCCCCCAGTTAATTGGAAGAAGAAGTCTTCTTCATTTTCTTCTACTACATGTGGGCTTTTGCCTCAAAGGAGGGAACAAGGTTTAAGCATCTCCATTTGACCTGCCAACAATTTAGCAAACACAGTCAAGTTTTCCTTTGCTTCCACCACCCTTGGAAGATTGATGACTTTGATTGCATCCTGTGTCCATGCACAGGGATACAGGCAATATACTAAATCCAGAGTCATCTTCCAAGTTACAGGGTCTGACGGTTTGTCAGTAACTTTGGTGAGGACAACATTGCTTCCATTTCCCATGCTGGGTGTAATTTTCTGTCAAAGAACACCAACTCCAATTCAAATAAAGCCTTTCTTGGTACACTGGTAGCAGAGTTCTTTTCTGAATAAGAATGGGAAGGTACATGTAAAAGTTTATGCCCAAAGAGCACCAGTAATAATCGCTGTGGGCAGAAATGCAGTTGTGATAGATTGTATCCTGATCAGTAAACGTAAAGACATAATCATAAAATTCTTGAATACAAAGGCAAATACAGACAATCAAATCTTGCCATCTCACCTGCGTAAGCCCAGACAAAGAGACACAGGGGTACCCAGATGGTCAGATTTTTCATTACTTTCAACTCTCTGCAGAACATCTGTGTCTTAGGTAACACTGCCTCTGGCTATATAATGTCCAATTTCTGTCTCTCCCCCAAAACTGACTGATTTGCTTCAAAGCATTTTCTCCCATACCCTAAATCTCAGAGTATATAAAATAAAAAAAAGAGCAACATGGATCTTAGAATACTCCACAGGCTGCCTTTGGTGAACACCTTTGCAGACATTTAAAAATTGTACTTACTGGGTAAGAAAGATGATCAGCTGGTTGTCGAAATGGCTCTGCGTCTTCGCGTTCATAAATAAGGCTCAACAGTTCTTTGCATTGTATTCTCCAAGCATCAGGATTATACTTCAAAGACTGTCTTCTGCCTCGGCATTTGACCTGCAGATTTTAAGAGAATTATAACTAAAACCACTTTTCTTAACTCTTCACTGATTTTTTTATTGTTTTCCTAATCTTAATAAATAAATCAATATAGAAAGCCTCAGCTAATATTTAAGTTTCTTATTTTTGTTCAGCCCTTAATGGACAGCAATGTAGAGATTTCTCAAAAGATTAAAAATGGATCTTCCATATGACACTCCTACCCAATACTAATCCTATTTCTATCCCCAAAGTACAAAACATTAATTCAAAAGGAAACTTGCACTTTGATGTTTATAGCAGTACTATTTACAACAGCCAAGACATGGAAACAACCTAAATGCCCCAAAACAGACGAGTGGATCAAGAAATGGTATATATCGTATATATATACACACATACAGAAAAACTACCCAGCAATCAAAAAGGACAAAACCATGCCAATTGCAGCAACATGGATGGAGCTACAAGGAATTATACCAAGTGAAATAAGTCAGAAGGAGAAAGATAAATACTGGATGATGCCACTTATATGTGGAATATAGGAAAAAACAAACAAAGGTCAGACAAACTTAAAACTAACCCTTAAAATGTGACAATTGGAAAAAAACCTAACGATTGATCTTAGACATCTGGCAGGGTAGTGTGGGGGCAGGGAAGGAAAAGAGTGACAACAGGGGGTGGGGGTTACACAATGTACTGTGGGTGCTTTGGTGAAGGCTGGTTTACAGTGACCACACTGTAAGGAAAGGGTATGCGAATCTTATACTGTCAAAACACTAGCAAGAATAATGGTATTTAAGTAATAATCAAAATTAAAGAAATTTTTAAATAATAAAGAACTCATGAGATTGCTATGCACCTTCTCCTATTTAATTAAACATCAACTATTATCTGAAATGGGGAAAAAAGTTTCTTATTTTTAAATTAGGCATTATCCTTCCTGGCAAAAATTAATAAAAACCAAGTATTACATTCATGGAAATGGCAAGAATTTGAGTATTATGAATTTTCATTTTAAGAAAATCTGAAGCTCAAATAGAGGGATAAATGCTTTTTCCCTATACAATATAATAATTATTATGCTCTAATATTTGCTGGTAGTTAAAAATACTTAACACTGGCACCATAATTTCCTCAAACACTTAAGCATCTCTCTCTGTGTGTGAGAAAACCCTTTAGAATCATGATAGATGCTGGCCTTCATAATTTGATGCCTTTCAGTATTTCTTTTCTGTTTAAAGATTCATTCTATTTATGCAGACAGAACTGGGTACAGGCCAGAGATGCAGGTGTGGTGAGAGGATTCACCAGAGACAGATTCTGGGGTCAGAACAAGCAGATCGACAAAGTACACTGCTGAGGGGAGCAGCGGGCGAGACAGGAGTGGTCTGCTGCTCCATGTGGATCACCTCCAGGTCAGTGGCTGTGGCTAGTTTACAATGCAGTGCCCTAACCTGTTGGGCCACCAGGGAGGGCCCCTTTCAGTATTTCAAAGCAACATTTTCTTATAACACACTGTTCACAGAATAAATATATCCAATTACCGATAGCAGGGAACTATTCATAACAAAATTAATGGAGGAGAATGCTATCTTGAGCAGGGCTCACTTGCAAGGTTAGTCCTTGCTGGTGTTTGGGAATTTGGCACTGTTTCCTATAAAAAAAAAAAAATGATTTGTGCTGATTATCTGTTTTCCTATGCTTTCCAGCTTTCTAGAAGTGTGGAATATTGACATGTTTAGTGAGATGATCCCTGCGTAATCAACCACCTGCCAATAAAATGCTTAGAGACTATGTGTCTAAAGTCACACATGTGCTATATATTCACTGCTGGGAGAAGAGAGTGTGTTTTGTGTGACCCCTTTGAGGAAGGAGAGAGCATTAAGAAGGCTGTACATTGATTCCTTTAGACCCTACCTATGTCCTTTTCCCGTGATCCAGTTGTATATCGTTACTGCATCACAGTAATAGACTTTAACAATTTGAAACAACTGCATATAATGAACTCTATGAGTCTCTCTAATAATTCTCCAAACAGGTAAAGTTGGTCTTAGGGAACATTTATTCACTTACCCTTCTTCCAGATGAAGTACCAGGACCATCTGAATCTAAATCAATCATTTCTGTATCCTAAAATTAAGAGGGGAGAATGAGAGATGTTAATGTTACATTTAATGTCTCACAAATTAGACAGACATTTTCAAAGTAATGTCAAATACAAACACAATTAACTTCCTAATTGAAGTAGGCAGCAGAACAAAGGTTGGAGGGAGTCTACAACACCAAAATTTGTCTATATGATGTGTACTAGCTAGTCAATATACTAAGAAAACAAAAGATTTCTCTTTAAATAATTCACAGGAAAAAAATACAGTGAATGACATCTAGAGCTGCACTTAAATGTCAGCATTTCACAAAGACTTATTCTATATAATATGCTTATTTAATATATTATAATTGAGTTATTCATGATTAACCTTTTCCTAGTTCATGAAATACATCTATTTTCATGGGGAGAATATGATGTATTAAAATCTAAGATTCAGTTAAATATCCACCTGAGGGATAATTTTTTAATACAGAGGCAAGGATCAGTTCACACTAGTTAACTAGTGATAGTGCAGCAACTTGGTAATATCTAGTAGCACTTGGAACAGAGGCACACGTGCAGAAGAAGCCATGTTAGCCTTGGACTTCCACCAGGGACTTGGGGAATGTGGAAGGAAACACCTGAGACAGAGATGTGTAAGAAACATATGAGAGGCTGACAACTGCAGCTTTTTTCTTGTCATTTACTTTGATTTTTCTCCTTTCTTTTCAGACTTGCCTGACCCGTTCTGCCCCTTTCCTATTGTTTCGTGCCAAAATGTACCTTAGACTTGTGGCAAGCTTTCAGGCCTCAATGGCTCTGCTTTTGGGCCAACTATGTTTGGGTGGCATTTACCCATCGATGAGGGGATGGGTTAAATTTGGGTATTTCATAGGAAAACTACTCTTTCTCTTCTTTCTGTTGCATATTATTTCTAATAAAGGTCTTTTCTATTGACAATCTTATATACTAAGAGTACGTTTTATCTTTATGTGGCAAAACCTATTTAGAGTGTGCAAGTTCAGAGGTCCGAAGGTACCCCTTACTCCACCTGCTAACAAAAGAATGAATTGATATGGAAGATGTGGTGGTAGACACACACACACACACATATGTTGCACACACACACATACATACAATGAATGTTACTTAGCTACTTAGCCTTGAGAAAGTTGTTGCAACAATAAGGATGAACTTTGAGGGCATTATGCTAAGTGAAATAAGCCTGATAAAGACAAATACTCTGTGGTATCTCTTATATGTAGAATCTTTAAAGAAAAACTTAAGTCAAACTGATAGAAACAGAATAGAAAAGTAGTTGCCAGAGGCTGGTTAGTGGAGGACATAAGAAGAGACTGGCAAAGGGGTACAAACTTTCAGCTATAGGATGAATAAGGTCTAGAAATCTAAAAATCTGAAGTAAAACATGGTGACTATATTTGGTAATATTGTATTGAACAACTGAAATTTCCAGAGAGAATAGAATTTCAATGCTCTCAGCAAAAAATTAAAAAGAAAGTAAATATTTAGAGGAAAAATAAAGAAAATGAATATTTTAATTTTCTGTTTTAATCCAAGTATTGCCAGTGTGAAGTGAAATTCTCATCACATCAAATCCAGAATCAAAATGCATTTATGTGAAAGTTCAGAAAAAATATGTAATATCAATAATAAATTTTTCATTCATTTCAGGAGGATAATATTAACTGATATATATCCAAGTTTTGCTAATATTAAAAATAATACTTAACTCCAATAATATGTTTTATATTCAGATACATTTTCATGCAAGAGTAAAATAACACTGAAGATCTACAATTCTGGAGAGCAACAGTGCATAAAAACAAGTTAAATAGCTCTGTATAGGAGCCATGCAATAGAATCTAGCATATTTGAGTCACTCATCCCTGGGATAAATTTCTGCTGAAAGTATTTGAATTAACATTTTCAATTTTGTTTAAGTCTCTTACCTTGGTTTTGATTCTGAATATCATCGTCTCCAATCAGAAATGGCTTTATGTAAATTAGGGATATGAATGGGTGGGGAAATCAGATACGTGAGGGTCTGCTGATAGTAGTAATTCCTTTTCATTAAGAAATAATTTTCCATAAAAGAAATTATCACGGTATCATTTAATGGCGTTAAAACTTAAGTCTCTGCAGTTTGTTCAGCTGAACAATCCTGGGAGTCACAAAACAGGTAAGGGAAACTGGCCAAGGGTCCACATGACCAATAATTTCCTGGAATGCTGGAATCAGGGCAAATAACATCAGGCATGATACCTCCTGATATACCAGCAGATAACAAAGATCAGAGACCAACTTCCCTAGTTATGAAAAACCTATAGAAAGCATTTATAAATGTAAAAAATTTAAATTAAAAAAAAGGGGGTTCATAAAAGGGAGGCCCGAATCTTTCCTGCACAGAACCTTTTCCTCTCGCTCCCTGCTTTCTTTTGCAGGGTACTTCATGAAGTAAATCTGCCTTTCCTGTTCTCCACTTTGTTTCTGGTCAATTCTCCCTTACACACACACACACACACACACACACACACACACACACACA